CTAAATCATATAAGTTTCTGTTACAGAAAAGAGCAAACAAAGTGTTAGGTTGTTGAGAGGCTGTTGTCTGTGCACCTGAAGTCTTTGCCCATATGTGAACTATAATGATAGGTTCAGTCTTTTTGGTTGTGACCCTTACCTTTACTGCTGTGCCATCTCTAGCTATGACTAGGTCCTGAATGGTGAAATTCCATCTCTTTTTCTTGCTAATTTTCAAGCTCTTAATTTTTTTTTTTTTTAAAGACAGGGTTTCTCTGTGTAGCCCTGGTAGTCCTGGAATTTGCTCTGTAGACCAGACTAGCTTCAAACTCAGAGATCCACCTACCTCTGCTTCCCAAATACTGGGATTTAAAAGGTGTGCACCACCATGGCCCCAGTGGTCTTAAGTGTTTTCGCTAACTCTTGGGTTACTGGACTGTACTAGGCATTTACAGTGTATTGCGGAAAGAAAACGCATGAGTACTTGGATTGGAGATGCACGCAGTAGACAGTGTTCCCCAGGACGTGTTTGTTTTAGAACTGTCCATGTCTGCTCACCTCCTAGTTTTCTTTGGGGATAACAATGTGTACCATCCCCAGTGCCCCACCCATGTTTTAAAAATGGTTTTTATTATTTTCTAGACTTTCATACACTATGTTTTGATTATATTTCCCCCTCCTCTGCCTTTTCTCAGTTCCTTTCTAAAGTCACTGTTGATACAGAATTGCCCTTGTTACTTTGTGAGCCTAAATCTGTATTTACTGCCCCTTTCACGCCCCCCCCGCCCCCCGTTGTATACCTTCTTGTCCCCATTTCTGTTGCTTAGAGTTGTTCTAGGCTGTAATTGCAATGTTCCTTTCTTGACCGTTCGTTCCCTTGCATAGAATGGGACCAGTAACAAGCACAGCCCCCTGAGTGCTTGGAGGCTGAGTGAGGTCATGCCTGGGGAGGACGAGCAGCTGCAGCACCAAGCCGGCTCTCCAGAGAGGCTCTTCCTGTGATGCTGGTCCAGAGAGAGCGCTGTTTGGATGGCTTCTCTAAGTACTGGTCCTCATTGAGTGCTCGGTCACACTGTTCTGCTTTCTAAACTTTGAAAAGATTCGGGGCAGTAGGCAAAAGTCCATAAATGTAACTTAAAACCACACACTGAACTTGGCAATGTCTTTTCTATGATGCTGTGATACTGTGTATGGGCAGGATATATAAAGCGGGCTCAGCTCTTTTGTGCTCTTAGTTTTTGTGATCAGGAGTGTTTGAACTAACAGCTTCTTTCTTCGTTTCAGTATGATCTATGTTTTGGTGAGCTCATAGAACAACACAGAAGAATGGTCCAGTTAAGTGCATGCAAAACGCCGCTGATGAAGGGATTCTATCCAGCAAGGTCCTGTTCCCAAGAGTAGCCTATGGAATCTGATCAGTTACTTTAAAAAATGACTCCTTATTTTTTAAATGTTTCCACATTTTTTGCTTGTGGAAAGACTGTTTTCATATGTTATACTTGGATAAAGACTTTAAATGGAATTACGTATAAATTAATATAAAATGATCACCTCTGGTGTTGACAGGTTGAACTTGCACTCTTAAGGAACAGCCATAACCCTCCGAGTGATTTCATTAATTATTGACTGCCCTGAGTCCTTTGGGAGCTTGGTTTAGAGGGCTCGTTGGGCTTCAAGATAAATTAGTGTAGATATGAGGTGCTTCTGGTGAACTGAAAATGTACGTCCGACTTGTGGGGAAGGCCGTGGGCTTCCGCACTGATCGCTGTAGATGATTATGTACGGGCATGACAGTAGGAAGAGTGGGATTTCTTTCCCTGTTGACTTGAATAGTATCCCTGTATATTGCATGAGAGAGGGGTCTCCCTCCTTTCCATCAGAGTAATACACTTGCTTTAATTCTTAAACATAAGTGATACAAACATATGCTGAATTACCTGTAAAGAATGCATTTAAAGCAATTTTAAATGTATTTTTATTTGTAAGACATTATTTACTAAGAAATTGGTTATACTATGCTTACTCTTCTAATCCAGTGGTCAAGGTATTCTTAAGAATTTGCAAGTACTTTAGATTTCCAAAGTAAATGAGAGAACTGTGTAACCACCTGCTGTTCCTTCGGTGCAACCCAATAAACTCTGAGATGAAGATGCTTTCCGGTGCGTTGTTTTTGAGATCACCAGCGGCTGTTCCTCATGCTCAGTCAGTCCATCATAATAAAAGACATAATGTCATTTTAAAATTTAATCACCATATTGTGTGTTTTCTTAAAACAATACTTCTGAATCCAAAGTCTGAAGAGTTTTGGACAGGCCCATCACTGTTCCATCTGAGGGAGTCCTCCCTCTGCAGACACAGGACCATCGTTCTCTCACTGATCTCCGGTTCAGACAGGCCCATCACTGTCATTGGGGGGAGTCCAGGCAGTTGACGTCAGATGCTCGTGTTGTGCTTTCCTGTAATGCCCTTCACCTTAGCCAGTTCTCTAGCTCCCAGAAGTCTCCCCGTTGTGCCTGTCTTCTTGTGTCACATCTGGAGCAGCAACTGTTCCTTGTAGATTCTTCTGCGTTAGGCCTTCCGCAGCAAATGCCTGCTGAGCTGGCTGTTGAATAGTGCTGTATCATGCCAGCAGGCTCTTTGAGGCTTGAGTTAAAGGGAAAGTGATGGGAAATGACGTGCTAAGCCACTTTTAACATGTATTTGAGCATTAGTAACTGAAGTTTCACTTACACAATGACCTGTCTGACTTTTCATTTAGGTTTGTATGTTGAGTAACAGTGTGACTTGGAAACCAAGAACAGGTCATTGGCAAGATGTGTCTCCTGTCACGTAGGAGCTAACATGGAGCTCTTATACCTCCCAACTCCATATGCTATGAGGGCCTATCTAATGTATAGAAAGGACTTAAAGTTGTGTATGCTTTTTTTTTATAGTGTTCCTAGATATAATTAGTGGAGCATAACTAGTGATTTCTGTGTATCTTTCTCCTTGCAGGGTAAGTAAGCTCTTACTGTAGGTGTGACTGTAGAACTTTATCCAGCCCATTCAAATGGTCTGTATTAAAAAGCATTTATATCCAGCTGTTTGTCACTTAATATCCACAGATGTACAGCTCAATAATCAGATGCAAGTCAGAAATTTGCATAACAAAAGTATTTTAGAGGGGAAAGAAAACTATTGCTCCATTGCCTAGCCTTGTTCATAAATGCTAATCTCCGCTGGAAGCTGTAATAATATTGGTTTCAAGTGACTTTGAGGTGTTTTATTCAGACCGATTGATTTGTGGCCAGATGAGTAGTTAGAAAGTGTCTGATATTTAGCAGTATAACCTAGGAGATGGTTCTGAGTGAATCTTCCAAAGTGATGCCCAAAGAAGATGTTCTGTTCCTGGATTTCTTGACTTGTTTCTCAGAGCCATTTACTGTGACTACAATTCAGAAATTTCCAGTGTCTGAAAGAGTGTGTAACAGCTGCCTGTTCTGTTTACTTCGGAAAGTGTGAGTCTGAGGTAGAGCGAGGGATTTGCTCTGCATCCATTTCTTGATAACATTGTGGAAGACATGAGCGTCTTGACATGCAGAAGACCCGTGTCTCCCAGATGGCAGTGTTATACAGTGCCTTTTCTAATTTATTATTATATTATTTTATTATTATTTTTATTTTATTTATTACTTATATTTGATTGGTAATGCTTATGTATTTTGGAGAATGAGTTTCTTAAATGAGTTGATGACAATAGATCCTAAAACTAAAGAAAACACGAAATCACAAAGTGTAGTCATGGTTTCTTAAAGCCTAAGCGTGGAGGTGGTGGTGCAGCCCTCTCTTAGGCCTTAGAGCGTGCTCGTTCCACTTTTGCATATTTAATAAAAACTGTCTCAACTACTCCTTGTGTCGTTGATGGGTAGTGCTTGAGTCCATGTAATCTTTGTGCTGATTTCAAGTGTACGTGCACAGACCAGGACCCTAGATTGTGTCCCCATTGCTTTTAGATAGATCATATACTTTGGGCAGGAAAAATACTTTCCCTGGAATATTGGCATTGTACTTCATTTTTGTGTGCTCTGCAGTGCAGGGTTTCTCTGTCTAAGAGCCTTAACTGCCCTGGAACTCACTTTGTAGACCACACTGGCCTCAAACTCACAGAGATCTGCCTGCCTTTGTTGGGACTGAAAGATGTGCACACCACTGCCCAGCCGGGCATTGCATGTTTCTAAACCTCACCACACAAGTATATTCCATGACTAATGTTTCCCTGCTGTGTGTAATTAAAAATCTTCCCATGTGCGTGGAATTAGAATAGTTTAGTCAGACATCTGAATGTAGAAGTTTGACAGACACTTGCAGTGGGAACTGAGAGGTACTTTGAAAATCCAGTTGTTAGATTACTCAGGAATGAGCTTTGTCTTGGGAGGAGTGACTGCAGACGTTGCTGGAGTCTGGGGCTAGGGAGGTGTCCTGTTGATGGAGTGTTTGCCCTGGGAGCTGAGAACATGCGTTTGCTAGTCTCGATACTGAGGGAAGAATCTGATGTGTACTTGTAATCCCAGTGCTGGGAAGATGAAGACAGAAAGAGTCTGGGGCTCACTGACAGTCTAGCCTACTTGGCAAGGTCTAGAAAATGAGACCCTATCTCAAAAATCTGGGTGGACAGATCCTGAGGAACTCATTCTCCACACACGGAGATTTGCTGGTGTTGGTCTCAGTCGCTGTCTAAAGATTCCAGATACTGTGACTTTAAAATTGGTTGAAATTGCAGTATGTACAAAAACAAAAAACAAAAAAACAAAAAAAGCCCTAAAAAACCAAATTAAGAAACACACACACACACAAAACTTTTGGGACATTTTTTTTTAAAATGTCCCTTGATTAAAATTTGGTACTAGTGCTGTATGATTCTCCCATCTTTCTCAGTATTTTTTAAAGGAATCATAAATTCTATAAGCTAGTTAGTTGGTTGTGGTGGCGTACACCTTTAATCCCAGCACTTGAGGGAGGCAGATGCAGGAGATCTCTGAGTTCAAGGCCAGCCTGGTTTACAGAGTAAGAGCCTGTCTCAAAAATGAAAAGAAGAAACACCCCAAGTGTGCATGGAAGCACTAGGGTCCCCACCGTGGTAAGGTGCGCTGGGAGGGAGCCGGCTCTAAGCTCAGAGTCCCTTGTAATTCTGTAAGTAGTGAAGTAGGAAAAGAGAATTACAGGAGGTGGGAGGGTAAAAGTTTTTTACAAGTAGTGAGTAAGGTGTGTGAGAGATGGTTCAGCGGACAGAAGCACTTGCCACCAATCCTGATGGTCTGAGTTTGATCCTGGAACCCACGTGAAGGAAGAGGAGAACTGACTTCTGCCCCTTGACCTCTGACCTCCGCCTGTACTGGTTAACTGTGGGTCTGCATACAAAAACTTCATTTTTACTGTGTCACATGCCTACCAGTGACTGTCGGAGGAGGCCAAAGCGGGGTAAACAAGAAAGCCCAGTGTTTTTCCTTTCTTTCCCTGGCGTCCTCTAGGTAAGCAAGAAAGTCAGTGCACTTCTAGAAAGACAGCTGTATCAACTGTGCAAATTCATGACCCGAAGCTTTTGGAGGAACCACACATAACATTTATATTCAGGATGGTAGCACTAGTACTTTTGCTTCAATACAAAGTATGCTAGAGAACTTGGGAACTTCACGCGTAGGCATGTATTTGAAATCTTCATTATCTGGACACAGATCTTGATAGTGAATCTCTTGATGATAGATATGTAGCTAATTTATCCCGGAACTCATGAAGATAATTATATTGCTGGAAAAAAAAAGTAAAGATATGTTGAAGTCCAGAAAATAGGACCAGAGTAGATAGACCCCCATACTTGCTAAGAACAGGAGAAGGTGCTGGCCAAGCCAGGAGGTGGGAGAGGCAGGGTCGGAGGTGAGGTTGGGTAAGGAAGCTACCCTTACCGGAAGGCAGGATGGAATTCACAGGAGGGTTTTCTAAGTCTATACAATGCTTCCTTTATTGCTGAGACTAATAGTCAAAGGGCATCTTCTGTCCAATGTGGAAGGGCCTACTTTTGGCTTGTGTTTTTTTCACTACTGAATATGGAGGAGGGCATTCTCTCTAACAACAGTGACACAGTCTAACAGGTGTTTGTAGAAGCCCAAGCTACTCGTGCTTCCCGTCCCCCATTTTTTTGGTTTTTCGAGATGGGTTTTTCTGTAGCTTGAAGCCTGTCCTGGAACTGGCTTTGTAGACCAGGCTGGCCTCAAACTCACAGAGATCCGCCTGCTTCTACCTCCTGAGTGCTGGGATTAAAGGTGTGCGCCACCACCACACGGCTGCTACTGGTACTTTTGATGACAATCCATTTGGAATAATTTTCATAAATAAAAAATTTAAAAACCAAACATTATACAGATAAGCTAAGTAAGTGCTTTTTGACAATTTATTGAAGTTGAAATCTCTTTCCAAAAGAGAGCTCTGATAGCCCACCATCCCTGATAGTGAAACTCTGCCGTGCTGGCTTTCCTGGGAGAGGTGGGGATGTCCAGGGGATGAGCTGACGCCCACGAGTGTGGGCCTCATTCTCGGTGACACATGTATAGTGCGTACATATTGGACCATGGCTCTTGTTAGAAAAAGGAGACTGAACTTCCTAAATTTGAAGTATTTGATGTTAACAGAATAAAGGGAGTTCTATTTTCAGAACTTCTGTAGAGAAGTAGATGCAGTAAGGTGTATTTTATGAATGGCCATGTTTAAACCTTGAGAAGCAGTTTGCTTGACCTGAATGAGTTAGTACAGTAAGTCCCAGTACTTGATGCTGGTGTAGTCCGCTAACCCAGGGAAGGGAGACTGGACCACAGGCAGCCTGTGGGTGAGGATTCGTGAGCACCAGGCTGATGACAGGCTAAGCTGGTTCCATGGAGTGGGGGTGGGGGGCAGATGATTGCCACATCTGGTGCGGTGCTGCTGCCTTCTTCCTACTTGTCTCTACATGTTCAGGAGAATGGAAGGCATCTGGTATCCATGGCAACAGACAATAAACTAAGCACTGCGTAGTTCTGATACCACTCATCAACGTGTCGGGGCACGGCAGGATCTTTAGAGTGCTTGGGCTGCAAATCTCCCCAAGAAAATGAAGGTTACAGTAGCCATTTCCTGATCGAGTGTGAGCATCAGCCCCAGAACTGACTGGGGCAGAGCTGAACAGTCACATCTCTCAGAGAGCAAAACGCAGAGTTTAACATCGTCATTATTTTGTTTAAAATTCAGTGGCTTGTGCAGATAGCTTGGTTGTATTTACATGTAAATGCAAAAGGTAAACCCATATATGTGCATCAGGATTTGGAATGTCAGCTCAAGGCCCTCTTACCTTGATGGTCTGTATGGCCCCAGATCCCCTGACATCTCGAAGGCTGTCTATGGCTTGCTGTGGTGATACTGAGTCAGACAAGTATAGGAGGAGACAAGCAGCTACTGAGAACATGACAGAAGAATAATGGGTTATTAAAAACTGGTTTGCTTTTGTTGTAAAGAGGCTAGATAGTCAATTAGACTTCGTGGCCACAGCAAACTCTGTTCAGTGTGATTGCTAAAAGACAGACACTATAGTCTGCACTCTTGAGACTTCTGTGATTCATACTAACGGCTTTGTTGCTACACACATTTCTCTGTGTACAGAGCTAGGAGTAGACTTTTGAGTCACGGTGACTGAGAAACAGACTAATTTTAAAGAGCAGTTGTGCTGTTTTACATCCCCAACAGTAGTGCTGAGCTCCTGTTTCTTGGAGTGCGTGCCGATTCTTTCCATTTTAACATCGCAGCCATAGCTAGCTGACATTACATGCGTTCTCATGTGCTTTTTGGGGAAATGTTTACTCATGTCCTTTGCTCACTGTTTAGTTACCATGTTGGTCTATCTGTATGGGTATGCTACATACTCTAGATGTATTCCCTTACCACGTACATGCTGTGCGCCCCCCCCCCCCCCAATTCTATGTACAGTCTTTCCATTTTGGCAGTATCCTTTCATGTTTTCACTTGGATCTTGTTTATCCTGTTTTATAATAAAATTTTTTTTTGGTAGCACACTTTAAAATTAATACACAGAGGCTGGAGAGATGGCTCAGAGTTAAAGGGCACTGAATGCTCTTCTAGAGATCCTGAGTTCAATTCCCAGGAACCACATGGTGGCTCACAACCATCTGGTGGGATCTGATGCCCTTTTCTGGATAAAGGCAGACATGCAGAGAGAGCACTCATATACATTAAAAAAAATCAATCAATTAAAAAAATAATAGACAGTAAGTAACTATACTTTGTTGTTGTTTCCTATATGTTGGGGGTTTTTGAGTCAGGGTCTCCCTGTAGACCTGCTTGACCTTGAACTCCTGCTATGCTGTGAGTTTTATACTGAGGCACCAGGTATTCTTTAGCATTTTCTGTCAGTGTCATAACACTTCATGGGAAGAACTTTAGGAAAACCCAGACACAATGCTAAGACTTGCAAGTGATCCTCCTAGGCCAGGCTGAGAACAGCTGGCACACCCACCTAGGCTTTCCAGGAAAAACCAAGTTCAAGGCTTTACTCAATCCCTGAGTCTTGGTAAACTTACATTGTGCTTTCTTTCCTTAACTATAAAGTGAGACAAGGTCTCTGAAGGAGTTTGCCTTTTTTTGAAGTTAAAGAGTTAGTGAAAATCTATTTCTTACCAAGACAGGATCTTCCAAGTCCTCCATAGCAGCTGAAAGGGAAAGAGAGTTTTGAGGTGCGTCCATTTTCATTCTATCCCAATACAGCTCAAGACTTCTCCTCTGCCCACGGTTACCTCTCCAGCACCCGGCACAGCACTGCACAGAGTAGCATGCGCAGTTAAACCACCCCAGAGCCGTGTGCGCTCATTCATATGGGGAGGGATTCTGAATACCTGGAAGGACCAAAGAAGGCCGCCTTAGTGACGCTGAACCCCAAGACCTATGGCTGAGAAATGGAGCACTAAAGAACTAGGAATCAAGGCTATCTGTCTTTTAGGTAAAATTTGAGTGGTTTTGGACCAAGTGCCAACCACACAATGAATGATCCGTCATCTGTCAAGCACAGAGGTGACAGATCAGTGTTAGGGAGGGGCTGGAATCCTTGCTTTTTTACCATTACCTGTGTTAATAATAGAGGGCTGCCTGAAGCAGTGTTTATCCCGGGCTTAGAACACAGGCTGGCTGAGGAAGAGACGAGTGAACACTAGTGGAAATGACCTAGCACTGTGAAGATGTCAACAGTTCTGCAAAGCAACCATCAAAGCTGGACAATCATTTTAAAGACTCTAAAAAAGTACATTGTAGGAAAATAAGCAAAAGCCCAGCCATTGGATGCTTTTATCTTACGAGCCTGAAGCATTCTCCCAGTACAGGGACACCCATCCACCTATCTACATCCATCTCCACAAAACAGAAGTTGCTGTGAAATTTTTGAAAAAGAAATTTCGAAACTATTTGGAAAATGGGCCTAAAAGTTGTATTTTTTTCCTTGCTGCATCTGATGCTAATTTGCATATGCCTACAAAGAAATTATACACACTTGTGTATTCTGAAATTCTGCCTTTGCATTACTTCGAGATGGGCCTGCTGTTTTATGGGAGATTCCACCATGCCAAGCTTTTGCCTCAGGTGCTGGGGGTCAAACTCAGGCCCTCACACTTGTGGCAAGTATATTAGCCACTGGGCCGCCTCCTCAGCCCTCGGAAGTCATATTTTAAAAGACTGCTTTCTGTAGTGCTCAGATGCACTCCCTGCCGTTCCTCTATAGGCGCTCAGATGCACTCCCTGCTGTTCCTCTATAGGCGCTCAGATGCCCTCCCTGGTGTTCCTCTATAGGCGCTCAGATGCACTCCCTGCCGTTCCTCTCTAGCGCTCAGATGCACTCCCTGCCGTTCCTCTATAGGTGCTCAGATGCACTCCCTGCCGTTCCTCTATAGGCGCTCAGATGCACTCCCTGCCGTTCCTCTATAGGCGCTCAGATGCCCTCCCTGCCGTTCCTCTATAGGCGCTCAGATGCACTCCCTGCCGTTCCTCTCTAGCGCTCAGATGCACTCCCTGCCGTTCCTCTATAGGTGCTCAGATGCACTCCCTGCCGTTCCTCTATAGGCGCTCAGATGCACTCCCTGCCGTTCCTCTATAGGCGCTCAGATGCCCTCCCTGCCGTTCCTCTATAGGCGCTCAGATGCACTCCCTGCCGTTCCTCTCTAGCGCTCAGATGCACTCCCTGCCGTTCCTCTATAGGTGCTCAGATGCACTCCCTGCTGTTCCTCTATAGGCGCTCAGATGCACTCCCTGCCGTTCCTCTCTAGCGCTCAGATGCACTCCCTGCCGTTCCTCTATAGATGCTCAGATGCACTCCCTGCTGTTCCTCTATAGGCGCTCAGATGCACTCCCTGCCGTTCCTCTATAGGCGCTCAGATGCACTCCCTGCCGTTCCTCTCTAGCGCTCAGATGCACTCCCTGCCGTTCCTCCTGAAGGGCAGTAACAGGAAGTGTCTGATGCATCCTCTGCAACAGGCTCTGAGCTAGCACTTTCCATGCATCAGCTTTCTAGTCCTGACAAGAAGAGGGAGATCATGGCCAGTGAGGAAGCGTTGTGACTGGCATATTGCTCGTGGGCTGTCCAGGGAAGAAGAACGCACTGTATCAGGGTTTTCCGGTGGTTTTTAAGGCAGGTGGCCAGCTCCTCCATGATTCCCCAGCAGCTGCCTATGTCAGGAGTCCCTCCATCTGGAATTGGGTGGTGATGGGTGACAATTCCAGACTGTTGGTAGAGGTCCAGAAGGTTTGGGACTCTATATTTTGACAGCTCCCCTCTGGTGCAGAAAACAAATACGTCTTGGATTCCGTAGCTCTTTAGTTCCTCTGCCAAGACCAAGACACACAGATGCACACATAAAACAGACATGTTTAAATAGTCAAGAGAGTATATATAGAGTTACATTCTTCAACCAAAATAGTAACAGCTGAGAATTTGTAAATCTGATATATCTGATGAAAATACCTAAACCAAAAGCTGATGAGAATTAAACCAGGTTGATTTATAAGTAAAATGCTTTTGAATGAATTTCAAGATAGGCTGATGGGTTTCTCTTGCAATAAATCCTGCCTTTAATAGTTAATATTTAAACTCTTGAGAAGGAACGATAGCACTATTTTAAGTTGTCCTTTTGTCCAAGAATTAGCCATGTGCACTCTAACCCTGCCTTTCTCGGGCAGGTGTTATAAATCATCTCCAGCTGAAGCCCTGTGTTCTTCCACTGTTCTGCACTGAACCATACCAACATGAATTTACTTTTATAAACTTGGTCTTGAGAAAATAAGGCATTAATGCACTAACCTTAATGATTTAGAGCTTTTCATTTTAATACTGTGAACCAAGAACTATTTCTCTAGGATTTTATACTGGAACTTAAAAAAAAAGATTTTCTTTTTAAACTATGTGCATATATGTATGTCTGTGTCAGGGTATGTGCACATGAGTGCAGGTGCTTGTGGAGGCCACAAGAGGGTGATAGATCTCCAGGAGCTGGAGTTACAGGTGTTAAAAACCACCCTATGTGGGTTCTGGGAACTGAACTCTGGTCCTCTGCAAGAGCAGCACCCACTCTTAACCACCGGGCCGTTCCCCAGCTTCTGGACCTTCTTTATGGCAATATTCATTCTGGATTATTTAGTTAAAAACAAGTAATCCTGAGCCCAACCTGTGGACATTTATCTAAGCACAAAGTCTTTGCAGTTGAAGTGTAAAACATATATCTTACTTTAAAGACAAAGAGAATAAAGATAGAAATGATCTTAATATTTTGCTTGATTGCATATTTCCTCTTGTGTGGAAATACTATATATGACATTCCTAGTATGTATGTATATATACACATACATAAACATGCACACATATGAAAGTAGAACAGATTATACGGAGAAGGAAAGGATCTAAAGGGAGAAGGAGGAAAGAGGGGAATGTGGAGGGAAGAAAAAGATTACTTTCTCATTTTGTTTGTCTCATACGTGCAACTTATATTTTAAAAATACATATATTTAATGAGATGTGAAATCAGAGGGACTAACCTGGGGGGAGGAAGGAAAGATGTTGAGGTGAACATGAACAAATATAATAATGTTGTAATAAATCCCATTATTTTGTTCACAAAAAATAATATAAAAAGGATAATTTGCTTTCTACTTAAAGGCTGGGTTAAATGATGATACTTAGAATATAATAAATTATTAAAATTTTAACTTCTTTGTCTTGTTTTTGTTTTTAGAGACAGGGTTTCTCTATAACAGCTCCAGCTATCCTGGAACTCACTCTATAGACCAGGCTGGCCTCGAACTCAGAGATCCACCTGCCTCTGCCTCCTGAGTGCCGGGGTTAAAGGTGTGCACCACCATGCCTGGTAGTTATGTCTTAGCTTTTTGAATGTGGCAACTAGAAAGTGTCATTCTGTACACAGCTTCCATTTGTGGCTGTGACTGCATTTCGTCGTGTTTGTTCTCTCAGTCAGGACTTTTGGTATGATCTAAGGGGGCCTGAAGCATGATGTCCTCCAGCCCACTTCCTCAGTGCTGAGACTACAGACATGTACCATTATGCCCCGCTTAGATAGTCTCATCTTGATAAAGCTATCATAGTGTTACAATTGTAAAATAATTTTAACATATTTAATAAAACTTTCAGAAGAGGGGATAATCTATTTGTCTTCCATACACACTTGACAAAATATGGTGGTTTTCAGATTTTCCCAAGGATACACCACAGGAAGTTCTAGGGTCTCTCACCAAGTGTTTTGATCTGTTCTATACAATAAATCCTATGAATGATTTCATTGTTAAAAAAATAAAGTTAATGAAAAAACTAGAATCTTCCTATTATAAAAGCCACTAAATAAATAGGAAACTCCAAAATGTGTAAGGTTAGTTTTTGAACCAGCAATTTAAATAGTATTTGCTATGTCCTCCAAATGGAACATGTATACCTAAAGCAGAATATGTTTATAAACACCACAAAGAGCAATCCAAGCATTAGACTCTTCATCCCTTTTGATTTTGAGACAGGGTCTCACTGTGTCACTCTGGCTGGCATGGAGCTTGCCGCGTAGACCAGGATGGCCTTGAACACCCAGAGATCTGCCTGCCTCTGCCCTGGGATTAAAGGATTGCACCACCATGCCTTTCTTCTCATCTTTTTGATAGGTAAGAAATAAAGTACATTAACCAACTACCAGAACAAGTAGGACAAAGTATGATGAGTTTAAAAATTCTGTACCAGTCAGACTCAAACCAAGCGTAGATACTTATTTTCTGTGTGATTAGGCTCTTAGTGTTTAAGTAGGTTACAATATTCCGGCCCAATCAGAATGAAATATGAATTTCCCATTTGTCACTATCATATAATATGCAAGAAGACTGCTGGGGTTATCATTAGAGTGGAGACGGCAACGGCATGAGCATCCTTGAGCAAAGAAAATAGCTCACGCTGCCGGGCCCACCTGCATGTTGGCTTTATTCTGACCAAGGGTGGACAACTTTCCTGCTACCCGGGGGCTCCCAGCTCAGGCTAAATTTGTGCTACCACAGTCAAGTCTGCAAGGAACAGTGTGTTCAAAGACATGGGCACCGCAGTATGCCAGTTTTCTATTTACAAACTTTTCTCCCTTGAACGGACACAGTTTCTATGTGTGAGCAAAACTGTGACAAGCAAAGTTATGCCCAGGTAAATGATGAACCCCGGGGCCCATCAGATACCGCTTCACGGTGGTGGCGCACGCCTTTAATCCCAGCACTCGGGAGGCAGAGGCAGGCGGATCTCTGTGAGTTCGAGACCAGCCTGGTCTACAGAGCTAGTTCCAGGACAGGCTCCAAAGCCACAGAGAAACCCTGTCTCGAAAAACCAAAAAAAAAAAAAAAAACAGAAATGTCATAAAAACCGATTTTATATATTGAGAAGAGAATAGCTTGACAGATTTTCATGCTTAAAACAAACACACAAGCTAGTAGTAGGCTTTTCTCATAGTGACCCTACCTGTATCTTTGTGAATGTTTCTTCTAACATCTTTAAATTTACAACCTATAGATAAGGCAAGGAAAAAAATTATTTTAGGGTTGTATAATATGGCATATTTGAACACATACAAGCTAGTGTAGACAATCATTTTACATGGCTATTCATGTTTCAATTCCATTCTAAATGTACATATTAATTTCTTAGAGTCTTAGACACAGCTGCAGAAATTGGTAAAATCTACTGACAGAAGCCGCAGTGCTGGAGCTCCTGGCTGTGGGCTTTAAGTCTCACTGAACTAGGTCAGTCAGAAATGTAGCCCTGGGCATGGAGGGTGTTCCTGAAGGCTTCCAGAAGACAAGCTGCCCAGCGCCTCTCTGACATCAACCTGTCAGCTCACAAAAGTCTGCCTTAATATTACTAGGAAGCCAACCGCATGCTTTTACCTACCTGGAAGAGCACACAGACCGAGAAACTGTGAGCAGTTCACTCGTGACAGAGGTAGCCTGTGAAGAAAAAATTACCAAGCTTAGTGTTTAAAAGCTAGAAATGGAGCTGGACAGTGGTGGCGCAGGCCTTTAATCCCAGCTCAGGGTGCAGAGGCCAGAGGATCTCTGTGAGTTCGAGGTCAGCCTGGTCTATAGAGTGAATTCCAGGACAGGTTCCAAAGCTACGCAGAGAAACTCTGTCTTGAAAACCAAAACCAAAAAAAGGCTAGAAATGGAAATTTAGCCTAGTCAACAGAAGCATCTGCCACAGAGTGAGGGTGTTTTAGCATTTTTCAGAGGTTGCAAAATACCAGTTAATCAGATGGGGGAACAACAAAGGCCTAGAATGACTGGAAGTTTGGAAAGGGGGGCTTTCATACCATTTATATCTTCAGAAAAAAGCTAATTTAAGTTTACCATAAAGATCCCCTATAGATAGAACCAGTAACCTGTGGTGTGCATCCCAAATGCTTGGGAACACATGTTTTTCAGAACTCGGAGTTTAGTGATTCTAGAATGATTGCAAAGGCTTGACCAACTGAGCATCCCAATCCGAATATCTAAAAATTCAAAATGCTCAGAATAAAAAATCTTTTCAAGTGCCAGTGTGAGTCTCAAAAAGTTGTAGGTTTGGGCTATTTAAGATTTCAGACAGAGATGCCCAGTCAGTAGGAACCTTAGTTGAATGAACTGGAAAATTCCATTTTAATACTAATTTTGCAATGTTAAGCTCTTTTGGTTAAATTGTCATACAGATATAATTAATTGTATACCCAGGGACAGAGGCCCTGTCTGTAAGTCAGGAGACGTTTGGAGAAAAGCCAGAGGCACCACAGAGGTAACAGCTGGGACAGAAAATTAGGTGTGGTTTTGAGTTTAAAAAGGAGCCTGGTAGGTAACGTTTATTTGATGACAGAATAAAGGACCTTTCGCGACAATTCTTAGTGCTCAGCGTTTTCTTGAGAGATCAGAACTTCTATTTCCAGTGCTGGGCCTTGAACGCAGGGGTTGACAGCCGTGTGCTCTATCGCTAAGCCACGTCCCAGTGAGACGCTGGCCTTATGGGGACAAGAGAAACCATTTGGTTGCTGGAAGTACAGACTTGGAAGTTGATTGACAGAGAAACTCTTTTTGATTGTGATGGTTGATGTTGACCTGCTTGGCTGGATTAAGGAGCACCTAACCGATTGGGAAGACACACCTCTGCGTGTTTCTGTAGGACATTTCCAGAGACAGTGAGGCCAGGAGGTCCTAAGAAGGGCTCAATCTCTTCCTGGATTCAAAATCTAAATGTACAGCTGGAAGAGGAATGGAGGAGGGGCTCGGCTGGCTGGGAAGCATGTCCTTGGGGACATGCCCCTCCCTGACCCCTTGTGTCACTGTCCACTCTGCTTCCGGGCAGCCGTGGTCTGAACTCCTCTGCTCTGCCATACACCCTTCCCCGACATAATGGATGAAAACCTCTGAACTGATGGCTAAAACCACCCTTTTCTCCCTTCAGTTGTGTATGTTGTAGTCTGTCACAGCAAGAGATGCAGATATATTGATATGGCTTTCATATTAAATGGTCCACTGATAGATACATCACACCACAAATAGTTCTGTGTACTAAATGGGATTTGACTTAATGATAAATTATTAAATACCCTATTTTTGGTATTCCAATGGTTTCTCTAATTCTAAAAGAATACATAAATTTTAGTAGGAGATCATTTCAAAATATTCCACTTCTTATTGGCTTCTACAAAGATTTTTTTCTTCAATGTATAGAGATATGTGGTTTTATTTCATATCAGAAAGTAAATAAATCATGGAATAAGGAAATCTCTTAAATATGAAAATTCTAGGTTGGCAGAAGAGAATTACACAATTACATGCATTATCTTGCCCGGAACTGCTGTACCATCAAACACTGTAGCTTACCACTGAAATGCTAACGTACCATGAGATTTGAATTGGAGTCTGTTCATCTTCAATAGGCTCTTCGTCTGAAGAATCAAACTCACTTGCCTGTATTGAAATGGGCTTCAAAAGAAATGTTATATTAAATTATTGCAAGGAATATTTGCATGTGATTTTTTACATAGCCAATCCTAGATTAAACACCCACTGAATTAATACTTGTGTTTTTTTGGTCATTAACCTGAACTGTCAGCAATATCAATAAATGATTAGTGCTGACCATTTGATTAATCACGGCACTGTACGGTGGGCAGAATTAGACCAAAAGGATATCTGACTCCTGGATTTGGTCCTTGGATCATCTCAGGCAAGGCACCGGGTGCAGCTCTCAAGTGCAATCTGCCCATCCCTTTTCAAGCATCTCTTGGACCTTGTGCTGGCATGCTCTGGAGACCCTGTGATACACTGTCCACCTCTAACATAGCTAAGAGACAGCAGTCTGCAGGATTACAGAATGGCGGAAGTGCTAAAATCGCAGAAACTGCGCAGTGGAGCCGAGGGAACGGCTCGCCATTGAGGGAGCAGCAAAGGGTTTCACAGAGACCATCCGGCTAAGCTTTGAAGAAACTGCAGGTTTCTAGGTAGACAGGGAAGTTGAAGCAGTGTGAAAATTCAAGAGCTGAGCCAGTTATGATGTCGGCACTGGGGAAATTGAGGCACAAGTTCTATAGAGCAGTGGAATACATGGCCAGGCTGGCTCAAAAGAAAGCCCGAGAGAGAATTTGGGTGGAGGCTTGTGCATTCAGTAGGGATGACTCAGAAGAGACAAGGCCAGTGGGAACTCAGCCTCTTTCTACAAAAAATCCCATACAGCCTAGCAAATGGGTGAACACACGCGAACCAGCTCCCCCTCATCTTTATGAGTCACTGGATTAGAAGAACCCAGACCGACCTTACATGCTGATCTAAGCAGGTGGGGCTCAATTCTGGATGCAGAACTTCCACACGGAAGAAAAACATATCCTTTCCCACTCCCTAGTTGTAGCCATCTTCCGTGTTATTGAGTGGCAAAAAGAGAATGTGTGTCTGAGTGATTCCCACATCATTCCGGAATGTGACTGATCCAACACTTCCCAGGCAGTGCTGGACAGCCCAGAATTCCCGTGTGCCAGATAGCGGACAGAAAGCAGGCAGACCTCAAGAGAGGAGGGAAGAGAGGCTTCATTACTTGTATTCAGTTCCCCTCTACTCAGAGATCAGATAGCTTATTCCTCTTCTCTGGAGCCAGAAGGCAGGAGTGAAGGACAGCTGACATCTCGTGGACACAGGACTCACAAGAGTAACCAAATAACGGGCTGCTTGGCTTTCAAGCCCTTGTAGGAAGGTCTTGCCAAAGGAGCTCACGACAACTGACTTTGGCTATGGACTGGGGTTTCTTAGGACTGCTCTTTGGTTTAAAAATAAACAGAACCCAAATGAACCCTTTAAGTAAGGTGTCAGCTGTGAGGTAGTCAGGTGTCAAATCCTGACTAGCTCCCAGCCCTCCCCCCCCAAGACCCCAAGATTTTAAGCTTGTAGGGCCCATTCACTCCACCCCTCCCAGCCAGGTGTGGATAAATCCTAACATGCTAAACGTCTCTGCTTTCCCGTGCCCAGCTATTCTGACCTTCAGGGAACAGGATGCAGTCCCAAGAGGACCCCGAGGGAGGGTGGCGGTCGTGATGTCACCCACAAACGGGGTCGTGACTGCCTTTGCATCAGAGGCATCAAGTCACCCACAAACCGGGTTGTGACGGACTTTGCATCTGAGGTTTCAAGCCTACTGGCTTAGCCTTCTCTGACAGGGATGTCGTGAGCCCCCTCAGGCGGTCAGTTCCGCCACTCTCCACCTCCCCGACGCGCAGAACGGTTACTGTGCGAGTCGCACCGCTGCCCGCCCAGCCAGGCAGCCGAGGCCGGCCAGCACCTGTCCCCCCGGCGCGGTTCCTTCGGGTCCCGCTAGCCCCACTCACCGGCTTCATAGCTGGCCGCGGCTCGCCGTAACCAGTGCAGCCGCTCTCGCAGAATCCGCGTCGCAGCCCGCGCCGAGTCAGTCCCCCGTCAGCCCATTGGTCCATCCGCGTGGGAGGCGGCGCGGCGCCGTCTAACAACCAATTATATCCTCTCTCTGTTTCTTCCTCCGAGCCCTGGCTTAACCTTTAACTGCTCATTGGTTCGAAGGAAGTCTTTGAAAGACGCGCGGGAGGCGGGCCCGGGAGGAAGTTGATTGGCTGGAGGGCTCCGCCCCCTCAGCCAGTTGGGGGCGTGGACGTAGCAAGGGGCGGGGCGTGGTTCTGTAGAGGCTGGTGGCTGCAGACTCAAAAGATTATAGTTCAAGTTCAAAGGCCAACTCTTTTTTTTTAAATTTATTTATTTATTAAGGATTTCTGCCTCGTCCCCACAACCGCTTCCCATTTCCCTCCCCCTCCCCCGATCAAGTCCCCCTCCCTCATCTGCTCGAAGAGCAATCAGGGTTCCCTGACCTGTGGGAAGCCCAAGGACTGCCCACCTCTGTCCAGGTCTCGTAAGGTGTGCATTCAAACTGCCTAGGCTCCCACAAAGCCAGTACGTGCAGTAGGGTCAAAAACCCACTGCAATTGTTCTTGAATTCTCAGTATTCCTCATTGTCTGCTATGTTCAGCTAGTCCGGATTTATCCCATGCTTTTTCAGACCTAGGCCAGCTGGCCTTGGTGAGATCCCAATAGAACATCCCCATTGTCTTAGTGTGTGGGTGCACCCCTCGTGGTCCTGAGTTCCTTGCTCGTGCTCCGTCTCCTTCTGCTCCTGATTTGGACCTTGAGATTTCTGTCCGGTGCTCCCGTGTGGGTCTCTGTCTCTGTCTCCTTTCATCGCAAAGGCCAACTCTTGTGGGACCAGAAAGAGCCTGTGTTGTAAATGAATTGTGAAAACCAGAAGCCAAAGAATCCTCCTTGTGCGGGAGGCTATCTTTCAGAGTAGTCAGGTTTTCAATTGAGTACTAGGGAAGACAATCAGCTTTGCCCTAAGTCTACTTAAATGTATCCCCAAACGTCCGTAATAGTATTTATCCAAATATCTGAGCCCCTGGCTCAGCTAGGTTGGTGTACAGCATTAATCAACATAGTGGCCCTCTATGATTTTCTATATTGATTGCTTATCTCCAAAATCAAAGGTTAAGTTAGAACAACAAAGCAATAAATGCTACTTTACAGCTATTCTCTCTTAATGTAAGTCTGCTTCCTTAGACGATGTTGCAGTAGACATAGCAAACTAGTTATCCCTAACCACAAATTTACTATTGGTCATGATACAATGTAGAAGAACCTCCATGAGTGTGTATGGTTCAAAGAACCATCCAGGATTTACCTTCTGATAAGTGCCTAGGATACTGGGCTCTTTAAGTATAGTGGCTTTACAAAACTTTAAATAAATTTTCAAACATTTCCCAGTGTGCCAGAACAGCTTGTGTGGAACTGGAAATAGATAGCGTTTGGCTATTAGGGCTCACTCCCTGATATCCCATTCTCTCAGAGGTCAGTCGGGTGACAACATCTGCCTCATTCTGAGCTTCCAGGACACTGAGAGGTGAGCAGGACCAGGCAATGGGTGGGATGCGGGGCTTACAGGATAGTAAGGTACACACGGGTGTGTGTGGAGCAAGGCGTGAGGAGCCCAGACATGGAAACACTGGAAAGGGGGGGTGAGGTGCTGACCTAGGGATGTTGCTAAAGCAACAAAACCCCACAAAACCACATCCCACATCCAGCCTCACTTGCTTACCATAAACATGGGTTATGGTTTGAGTCTTAAATATTCCTCACAGGGTCATGTCTTGGATGCTTCGTCTTAGCTGGGGGCACTATTTGGGGAAGTTCTAGAAACTTGGAGGTAGATGTTGTATATAGAATTGTCCGTGTTCACTATGGAATGTGGTGAGTCAAAGGCCTCATTTGAGAGAGTAGGTCCCTAGGGGTGGGCACTGTGAGCATATTTATTGTCCTATCTACTTCTAGTGACCCCCTGCATCCTCTTCACCATGATGTGAGTTGTTCTGCTCCTCTATGCCCACTCGTGTGATACAATGAAGCGTCTGAAACAGTGAGCCAGAAGAAGGCCTCCCTAAAGTTGCCTAGGCCATGCATTTGTTCAGTGTGAAGATAAGTAACTAATACAGCATGTCTGGATAGGTTTTAAGGCAGGAGTCATCATGAGCTTCTTTCCTTTAAAGATTTTTGTTTGTTTGTTTTTGCTTTGTTTTTGTTTTTTGAGACAGGGTTTCTCTGTAGCTTTGGAGCCTGTCCTGGAACTAGCTCTTATAGACCAGGCTGGCCTCGAACTCACAGAGATCCACCTGCCTCTGCCTCCCGAGTGCTGGGATTAAAGGTGTGTGCTACCACTGCCTGGCTAAATATTTATTTTTAATGTGTGTGTGTGTGTGTGTGTGTGTGTGTGTGTGTACCATGTACTTGCCTTGTGTCCATGAAGGCCAGAAGTGTGCTTTGGATCCTCTGGAGCTAGAGTTACAGGCAACTGTGAGTTGTCCCCAATGGGTGCTGGAAACGGAACACAAGTCTGTAAGAGCAGCAAGTGCTCCTAACCTCTGAGCATCTATCCAGTGCTATCAGCTTGTTTTTATGCCAGTCTCTTCCTGAGCAGAAGCCTTATAATCCTTCAGCATAGGTAAGACACTAGGTGTTACTTTAGTCATCTGTTACATGGCCCAAGTGAGTAGAAGCAGTTAGTTCACTGTTTCCCTGTGGCAGGTCACAGTCCAGCTGCCTTAAACTCTCGCCATCATCCTCTGTTGTGAACCGAAACAAACTCTTTGTCCTTTAAGTTGTTTTACTCCAGCAATAGGAAAGTAGTAAAAATGGTCTTTAGCTCAGTTTCTGATGACGTTCTTGTTCCCTGAAACTTCCTAAGCCAGGGGTCCGCTGTCTGCATTTGTCTTGGCATTTAACCTTCTGCACTTCTACCAGAACGACTCTTTAAGTTCTAGTTACATCATCCTAGGGATTTTCTAGCCCACAACTGCAAACTCGTCCACATTCTTCCCACAAATCAACTCTGAACACCAAAGAGCCACCTGGTCAGGTTTATGATAGCAACGGCCCCACATCTTGGTTTCAGTTTTCTGCTTGGTAACTTTTCTCATTGTTAGGGTCAAATTCCTGACAAGATGTGATGAAGGTTTATCCTAGGTTATGTTTCCTGGGACTCATCCCACCATGGTGGGGAAGAAATGAAGCAGGGAAGGGGGACATGGACGCAAGAGCAGGAGTCCAGCCAATGACATTTCATCGGCAGCCAGGACCACAGGGCTGGGCAATAAAGCCTCGAGATCTGCTGCCAGTGAGCCATTTCCTCTGGAGAGGCTCCACCTCCTAACTGTTCCATAACCTTCCACAACAGAGCAACCTGTTTAGGGCCAAGTGTTCTGATACATGTGCATAAAGGGTGTGTGTGTGGGGGGGTGGGGACTGGCATTTCTCCTTCAACCATAGCGTACCACTTCAACTGAAAGGCATGTCGTGTTCAACCATCAGCCAGGACGGAATCCAGAAAGTCTGAAACTGAGTTGGTATAATTTCCCACCGCTTTGTACTGACCATGTATCTAGTGAGCAGTCCAGACAAGATCAGTTCTTTTGTTCCAGTAACTTCTGCATTTGATTATCAAACTGCCATCAAGCTATGTGTACTGAAGGAAAGGGTACTAGAGGGAGGCCATCGGACTGTGCAGCGAGCTGCATCAGATATTCACATAAGCTATAGAAGTCACACATTTCCGGAGTCAGTTTGATTCCAGTCTACTGGGAGTGGTGGGGAGGGTGCAGTCACTGGGAGATGGAGCCCCTGGTAGATGTCACTTGCTAGGAAACAACAGGCCTTTACCTCAGAAGTGTGGAGGCAGGCAGCGACTCAATTTCAGGTTGTCCCATCTGCAAGTAAAGCCTCTTTCATGGTCATCAACATATAGGCCAGCCCATATCTACAGTTATTTCATGGTTTATGTCTCCCTGGAGGGCTGTCCCCGTCTGAACTGGCTTTCCCAAGTTAAAGTCTTATTCACTGACCCTCAGCCTGCTTACTCCAGAGATATCATTATTGCTGGAGTCCAAACTCACCAGCAGAGCCGCTGTCAGATTTTAACTTAAAGTCCAAAGAATTAAAATCTGTGGATTCAAGATTAAGCAGTTACAACCCAAAGGCTTTTCTAAGGCAGTTCCAGAGAACCAAGCAACATGTTCCGACCCCAAGAGACAAACATGGCTTTTCTAAGATCTCTTGATTAAAAAGTTGGTCCAGAGTGACCCTCTTAAAAGTGTGCTCACCAGTTAGGAAGTCATGGGTCTCTCTGAGGGTTAGATGTCTGATTTTGGGATAGTTTATTAGCAAAGAAAACTGATTCATTCATTCATTCATTCATTCATTCTAAAAGTAGGGCTAGAGAGATGGTGAGTAGTTAAGAGCACTGGCTGCTCTTGTAGAGGACCTGAGTTCAGTTCCCAGTACCCACACCAAGGCAGTTAACAACAGCTTAACACTCCAGTTCTAGGGAGTCGAGCACCCTCTATTTGGTTTCTTGGGGGCACCCTCATATGACTATGGCATACACTCATACAGACACATATACATAAAACTCTTTTTTTAAAAAAGGTTTTAAAATTCTAAGTGTGTCTCTGGCAACTGTTCATCTTTCCATGTTCTCTCCTTTCCCCTGAAGCTCCCGTGAGTAAGAATCACAGTAAACCTCATCTGCTCTGGAGGCTGGTTTTGTTTTCCACACTCAAGAGTTTACATCTCAGTTCACCAATTGGTGCAAAGGCACTTCCTCCTTTGCAGCTTGCTCTGATTCAGGTGAAGTTACAGACATACAATCGTTTGCATCCGTTGTTACCATAGACCTAGATAACACAAAGCTATTCTTTATCTTTTAAGAAAACGGTTTGCGGGCTGGAGAGATGGCTCAGTGGTTAAGGGCATTGCCTGCTCTCCCAAATGTTCTGAGTTCAATTCCCAGCAACCACATGGTGGCTCACAACCATCTGTAATGAGGTCTCCTGCCCTCTTC